GAAGCACAGGAATGTCAGTGAGACGTCAGTGAGAAGAGCCAGCCTGCAGTTCCAGCTCCTGTCCACAGACTGGCAGGAGGTGGATCTTCATAATCACAGCTCTGCTCAAATATCACCTTCACTTTCCAAGGACTCCTTGTTCCTTCAGACGACTCTGGGCGTTGTCCAGTCTCTTGTCTGAGCTCTGAATACTGGTTTATGTGTATTTCAGCGCACAGAAGGTGTGTGCGGTTCCTAAAACCCTTTCTGTAGCGCCCCCTTTCTGCAGACAGAACTATTGTGGAGGCCGACCCACATCAAGTGTTTCACAACTCCACTAAACATTAGTACAAACGTAAAAACTTTGAGAAGCACTTCTGGCCGTTTCTTCAAATGTCAGAACCCTCGGTCATATTGTGATGATGATCTAAACGCCGCGGCCTGTCGGCGTGCACAGTTCTCTTCATTATTCACCCTGGAATGCACAACTTCTTTATCTCTCCATCAGCCTGGCTCTCTCTCTCTCTCTCTCTCTCTCTCTCTGGGTGCCTTTGTTTTCCTATTTCTTCATAGCTGATGTCTGCAGTTTGGCTCAGAGGGAGAGAGGTGGTGGGGGGAGGTGGGGGAGTGGGGGAGTGGGGGGAGGATCCTTGTTCAAAATGATACTCTCCGTGCCTTTGTTTGAGTTCAGGCCCCGTTGACTAATACACCACACCAGAGAAGTGACCCCCACCGACTGACCCCCAGACACAGTGACCCCTAAACAGGCTGAGTGTTTGGGCTGGATTCTGATTGGCTGTGACGGGCGTTTCTGTTTGCCTTGGCCAAGTTGGCAGCGTTAAACATGGAAGATTATGTTTCCACGCTGCATAAATGTCTGTAAAAGCGTCCGGTTTCTGAACTGAATGTTTGTGTTGGAGAAGACGAGAACTCAGCTGTGAACAATGGGGCCACTTTAAAGACAAAGCTCACGCCTTATCATCCAACGACACCCACTTCAGCTTCCTACGCTGCTGCGGGCGCCGAGTGCTGCTGGAAAATGAAATGAAGAAAAACTCCTCCGTGACCTCCGTGAAGGTCAGAACAGCCGTGGGAAGTCTGTGCGAACTGCACGCCACGCGAAGACCTTCGCCTGTAGCTCTCGGAGACGGAATGAAGGAACGCTCACAGAATTCACGTTTCCTCGGCCGTCATGTGATTGTTGTGATTGTGATGTCATTTCTGTTTGTCTTCTTTTTACTGGTTCTACTAAAAACTGAATGGACGAATGAACGACGTGACG